AGACCCCCGTAATCCCCTTAAGAGATATCGCAGCTAGTTCAGGCAGCAGTGGTCTGTCCACAACTGTTTTCTTCGAAATGTGCTCACTGCGCTAGCCAAGGTCTGTTGCTTGCGTTGACTGCTCAACCCCAGAGCCAAGCAGGGCACAAGAGGCTGCTTGTCAATGGGCCACAGGCACTTTGTGGCTTGGGTGAAGTGAGATCTCAGGGAGACAAGGTCTGTTCGGCCAATACAGCCTCAGTTTTGCTGCAACTTCTATGCCTGGGTGTTCCCGCTGTAGACAAAGATCATAGTGAGGCCAGCTGCTGTCAAGGGTGGTCCCTCAGACCCCTGTGCTCCCTGGACACAATGTTGCAACTCTTGCAGGCAGCAAAGGTCTGCCTGCCCTTGATTTCTGTGCAGTACCCACCCTGTGCCAGCCAAAGTTTGTTGCCTGTGTAGATTAGGAGATCAGGGAAGGGGAAGAGCAGGTCTCTTGCAGTTCACTGTCAATGGGCCCTCTGGGGCAATCGTGGGTAGGGTGGGGCGGGGTCTCAGAGAGACAATGGCAGTTAGGTAAATTCATCCTCAGTCTTGCTGCAAATTTGGTAACTGTTGCGAGTTCCTGCAGAAGACCCAGCTCACAGCAAGACCAGCTGTTGTCTGGGACTAGCTCATTGGTCTCTGATATCAGCCCAAGTTCGTGTTGGCAGCAGCGATCTGCCTGACCCTATCTCTGAAATGTGGCTCACAGCAGCTGGCCGCTGTTGCTGGGATTAGGAACGCTGCTCTCAGACCAGAGGTTCCTAATGGCCCTGTGGGAGGGGTCTACACAGTCAAGCTGGTGAGGTCTGTAGATTGCCTGGCAGAGGGGCCGGACTAAGGCACAACGGTGGCCGCCTTTCCAGCCCTTGTTCAGACGCCAGGCAATGGAGACCTTTTTAGAATGAATCCCGGGCAAGCCTCTGACTCACCACTGGTGTTCTGGGTGAGCATCCACAGGTCAAAAAGCCTTTACGTGGGTCCTTCAAAGGGACGTCTAGGGGTTCAGTCGCCCTCCGTCTCACCCAGATGGCCAGAATTCCCTCCAGTTTCTACAGTTAGAATTATTGGAATCTCCTCTTCCCTGGGCTGGGACCCTGGGCTGGGGAGCCCGCAGATGAGACCAGGACCCCCATCTCCCTCAGGAGAGCCTCTACAGCCTCTCTCTCCCTCCCGGTGATCCTCCACCACCCATGGGTGCAGGTCCAGCCCGATTCTCAACTTCGCCCCTCCTACCGGCTTCAATGTGGCTCCTTTATATTATCAGATGTAGGTGTTATGATCGGCTGGACTTCAGGTGATTCTCCACGTTGGCTATTTTATAGTTTGGTTGTAATTTCATTGTGGTCCTGGGAGGAGACGAACCCTGCTTTTACCTAGTCTGCCATCTTCCCTCTATCCCTCCATGTGTGTGTATTTTTAATAAGAAATCAAGGTATACAATTATGCCCATTAATTGAATAATAATTGTATGATTCTCAAAATCATTTCGTCTATTCTAACAAACTGTGAGATAGTTATGAATTCATATTATACTTTTTCACATAGGACTCTATCGATAGGAATAAAATAGCAATAATTGGACATTCTTTTGGTGGAGCCACAAGTATTCAGGCTCTTCATGATGACCAGAGATTCAGGTAAGAAAATGAGGCAAAGTGAAAGAACAGTAAGTTATTGGAAGAAGGGGAGTGATAACCTGTGTGAGATAGAAGTTTATCAAATTCTTAGGAAGGAAAGGATCCTTTGAGGCTTACAAGTCTATTCTTTTGCCTCCATAAAGTATACTATGTGAATTAACCTAGGCATAAACCATCTACTTTTACTGAGATTAAAAATGCTCCCCACCCCTATTGATTTTCCCTCACCATTCTTATCTTTTTGAGGCTTTAACACTTTTATTTGGATATTTATCTTTATAGCCACATTTGATCTGTGACATAATGATTGTGATAATAATATTGCCATTTTATAGTCTAGACTTCCCCAGTAAGCAGAGTATTTTTAAATTATTTTTGTTTCATCTTTAATTTAGAGTGAGGTCTGAAATTACATAGTTATTTGGGTGGGAGACAGGACTCCAGTATTCTAGCTTGTAGAAATATTTTCTTTTTTGAGCCACTTCATCCCAGACTGATGAGATCATGCAGAACCACCCACATAGAAAGGGGCAGGATCATTTGTGAAATTTCATCTCATATTTCTTAAAATCTCTTTCAATGTAAGGGAATTCTCTTCTTTCATCCATTTAGCAAATAAAATAGAGTGCCCCAAAGGTCTAGAAACATAGGATAAACTTATTTAAAAAAAAAAGTTAGTTATATTTTCAAGTGATATACCTCATATGTTTTTTTCTTGGATGCTCACTTTTCCAGGTGAAGCACCCACCTCTAAATATAAAGCAATAGGTCCAATTGTTACTCTAAAAAAGGTATAATAATTAGACTGCGGAGTGTCAGAAGGTCTGGAAACACAGGGACAATAGTCCTATATGTTGCCCAGTATGTAACCAGCCTTCTTTTATTGTCGTCAACAAATATCTCCAGATGCGGGATTGCCTTGGATGCATGGATGTTTCCACTGCATGAAGAAGTACTTTCCCATTTTTCTCAGCCCCTCTTTTTCATCAACTCTGAACTGTTCCAATATCCTGATAATATCATAAAAATGAAAAAATGCTACGTACCTGGTAAAGAAAGAAAAATGATTACAATCAGGTAAGTAAAAGTAACTGACTGATTTCATCATCTGAAACAGAAACTTGAAACTTGGATAAACATCAGCAGACAATATTGGGTAGCCATCAAAGAATCATCGAATTTGTTGTTTAGACTTTCAATAAGGGAGACTATTAGAAAATCTCAGGCTTTAAGTGCATTTAGGCTTACTCTTTTTAAAATGCACATGTTTTGAGTAGCTCATATACTGACAATTACAACTTGCACCTGGATACATGCTACTTTTATGTAAACACAAGAGCAGGCTTACACAGGAGGAGGGGCAGGGTAGGAGTCCAGGGTAGAAGGAAGTATTCCACCATCAGGCTAGACTACGAACTCTTTAGAAAAGAAGTCAGATCATCTGTTGAGACCTGCAAGGTGTGATCACCTATTTGGAAAGAATATGAATTTATAAACTCCCAAAACTATAATTGGGGTCCCCTTGAGCATCAGCAATGTGCTTATATCATGGACATGAAAAAGGAATCCCAATAAGGTTTTGAGGTCAGAATGAGATGTTACAAAGCAAAGACGGAGCTCATCCCTCTCCTACTTGAAACCTTGTTTACTTAAGAGAAAAAAAGAGACAATGGGAAAGAAATACACACAGTATAGGCAACAAACACTATGGGATCAGAGGATGGAGGGGTCTTTTCCAACTGAGGTAGTTAGAAAAGACTGCTTGGAGGAGGTCACAGTAGAATTGGGTCTTGAAGGATCTAGAGTGAGAGAGTTTAGATAAATGGCAAGGGTAGGTCTAGATAAAGACTTTAATTTAGCTTATTTGTATATGCAAGTCTTATTCTATAAGAGAAATAGTACAGAAATAGAACCCTACTTCCTTACTAGGCTCTCACTCTTTCTCTTTCCTCTCTGCTAGAAACCTTGAAAGAATAGCTTATATTTAATATTTCATGTCCTTATTTCTATTTACTCTTGACTTCTGTGATCTAGCTTCCTGAACCCCCACCAGTGTGCTGAAGCTGAACCTACTGAGGATCTAAAAGGCCCAGAAGCCCATTTGCAGTGTCTCTGCATTCATTCAATATTGTTGACTACCCTTACTTCTCCTCCCTTAGATACCACAACCCTAGTCTTTCCTGCTTCTCCTTTCATTAGGCTGCTCCCTCCCTTTCTCCCAAACCCTCCCTCCTTTTCAGGCAGTCCCCTTACTGTTGGTAGCATTCCGGCTTTTGCTCTCAACTCTCTCATGACCCTGTGTCTACCTGTATGCGTCTGACTCTCAAGTTTTGATGGGCATATGGGGAAGAGTGAGCGGGACTCATGTGGCTCTATTTTGAACATAGATAACTAAAACGATGTGATTTGCCAATAAGCAGCAGGAAAGTGAAAAGGAAGAGGTGCACCGAGTGGGGTTGAAGAGATGTGTTTTAACCTTGGAGTTTCTTAACATCGGCCTGGGAAATCCAGGTAGAGATGTCTGGCCACAAACATCTCTTAGATGTTTGGAAAAGTATAGACTTTGTATATCAGAGATGAAACCTTTAAAGTAGACGAGGCCTCAAAGTGAGGAAAGAATTGGTCTGAGAATAGAACCTTGAGAAAGGCCTACATTTAGGTGAAGATCCAGTAAAAAACAAAGTATAGAGAAAGAGGGGAAAGTGCAACGTCAAGGAAACAAAGGAAAAAAAATGCGAGGAAACGAAGTGTCGAATATTTCAGAGGTAATAGAAAATGAGTACTAAAAAAGACCATCCTATTTAATGGTAGACTATTGGTGAATTTAAAGTGCACTATAGTGGTATTTGTAAGGTGCTTACAGTTTAAACAAATCAAGGGAAAGTGGTGGTGTCTTTTCTTTTTTTTTTAAATATACTTAATCTAAGGCTTAAATCCAAAGTGTTTTTGAATAGCATCGAATAGATATCAAGTTAAGAGGTGAGGGTAACGGAGTAAGCAGGTTTCTGGCTCTGAGTTCGGGGCCCCTTCAACATATAACACATTTCATCTACTCAAATTGGAAATATTTTAGTCCCTTAAAACGCTGGAATCATTTCTTCTAAAGACAAGATGCCAAGCAACATAGGAATCTTTAAATTTTTTTATCTAGAAGGGAAGACAATATATATTCTAGGATCTCTAAGTGAACAGTCTATGACCCTCAAGTTCATATCTAAGGAGATCAAATCGGTAAGTTTTGTTTCCTTGGTTGTTGGTGCAGGCCAGTATCTTTCCTGCACCCTAACTACAAAAATAATTTTATCAAACAATATGATTTATAAATGTCTCATTTGTCTTTCAGGGGTGCAGTCCATCAGAATTTTGTTGACTTCTCTTTGGTAACTGGCAAAATACTTGGATACATATTAACATTAAAAGGAAATATAGATTCAAAAGTAGCTATTGATCTTAACAACAAAGCTTCACTAGCATTCTTACAGAAGCATTTAGGTAAGAAACTAATATTCTTTGATAACATAAACCAGATGATCCTCAGGACAAAACTATCTTAATACAGCATTAGTCAAATTTTAACAGTCTCCAGTGGTTTACAATTTAATGTAGCAGTAAATCAGTTTGAAACCAATATCAGAAATTTGTGCTCTGTTGCATACTACATATCACATGGTAAGTCTGCTTATTAAAGCTATCAGTTGCTGAAGCAGCCAGGCAGCCGCTCAGCACAGAGTAGCTCGTCTCCATGATCATTAAGCAGATTAGATCATTTGCAATGCTATGATGCCACCTAGTGGCATTCAACTGTTTAATGCTCTCGAAAGTTTAATGTTTATTAACATTTATATTTTACAGAACTTCAGAAAGGTTTCGATCAGTGGGATTATTTGGTGGAAGGGGAAGATGACAATCTTATTCCAGGGACCAGCATTGACACAACCAACCAACGTGTCACTCTACAGAACTCTACAGAAATAGAGAAAAAGAATTTAGATTAAAAGTGCTTTTTAAAGTCTTTTTTATGTCTTATTTTAAAACCTCTGAATGTGAATGTATATGATTTTAATGTATTTTCTAAATGAATTCATATTTTAAAATGTAGGCTATACCATAATAGTGAGTGAAGTTTCTCTATGCTCTGTTTTCCTTTAAATATAATGAAATTGCTGTCTATAAAAATCATACCAGCTGAAATTTTACTTTTACTAAAATGATCCGTTTTTAGTGCCCAAGTTCACAACTGTTTTTACATTACTTTAATGAACAAGGATATTAAAACAGGTACAATGCCAATGAAAACATGCTGCAATGATATAACACTCTCTAAAAATACAATAAAAACAGATTTTCTTGTCTTTTTTTTTTTTTTTCTATTATGAACAGTAGAATTGAGTTTTAGCAACATGGTATTCTAGGTGGAATTTGGTAGCACTGCCCTTTGACTTTCGGTCATGTTAAGAAAAATTAGATCAAGCAGATAATAAAGCCACTGCTTTACCTCAGAATTAGTAATACTGTACAATTTGAATGTAATGACTAAATGAGGAGTGAACAAGGGTAAAAATACTGAAAATATAGAATTAGTAATACTATACAATTAGTAATACTATACTATACAATTAGTAATACTATACAATTTGAATGTAATGACTAAATGAGGAGTGAACAAGGGCAAAGGCATAGATTAAAACAAATGGAAGAAAGTTGGTCATTTGTTCGCATTTACTTTAATGGCTTATCTCTGGTGGATTCTACTTGCTAAAGAAAAGTACATAAGACAGGCCAGAGATGCCAGCTCTAACACATTAAATTAGCTATTCACCCAAAGCCTGGGAAGATAACAAAGGAAACATTCAGAATTTCTTTTAACTACTTTATTTTCCAGTTAGTTTTATTTAATAAGTGTTTAATTCTGTAGTAGATGTAGACTAGTACAATAAAAGGAGGTAAAAAAGATATCTTAAAAAATTATGCACTTATACATCTGAGAGTCAAGGAAAATGTGTGTGTTTGTTTGTTTGTTCCCGAGGGGTATAAAAACTTATGCCACTCATTAATTAAGTATATTTTGGTCTAAATATGGTCTTGTTCCTATGAATTCTCCATCATTAAGTCTAATTAAGCCTGTGTAAACAGGGATAACCACTGCTTAGTAAGCAAGCCCAGTTAACTATAACTATTCCATTCCTATCTCTTTTGCCCAGTTATTAGGTAACTGTGTGTTCTGACTGAGCACTTTAGGCTCATCCTAATGTTTTAAGGTGCAAAATCACTCATTTTGAGAAATTCGTTTTCTCTCATCCTGTAGCCATTTCTATTTAAAAAGTTAAAATAAAGGATTAGATTCAACTTCTCAGTGTGAAACTGAAGGTTTTCTATAATTTGGCCCTAATGCATCTTCTCTGACCTTTTCTCCCAGTAATTCATAAGTATATCTCCTATATGAATGAGCCAAACCTGTCTATTTATTATCTCAGGAACAAGCAATATACCTATCTACCTTGATCATGTTTAAAGCAAAATCCCCTCCTTGTTACTTATTGAAATTATACCCAGCTCTCAAGGTTCTTAATTCTCACTATTCCTATCAAGCTTCAGGGTCTGATAATGTTTCATACACACATCTTTTCATTGCTCTCACGTAACAAACCTCCTTACTCATTTTAGAAATGGATAACCATTCCAATTGTATCGATGTCTCATTCAATAGCACCTCTTTATAAATCTTTGTTAGTGGCACATGCTGCTGCTGAAAGGATCCAATGAGTTAAGGTTAAAAAAAAAAAGAAAGAATGCCTAGCATAGTACATACTGAGTTTTCAGGGAAAAGAAGAAAATATCAACTGCCTACTCCTTTTCACGTACTTTACATAAAGTATTGCTAATCTTAGAAAACACTGCAAAGAAGGTTTTATTATCCCATTTTACAGATGAGGAAGATCAAGCCTTAAAGATATTACATAACTTGCTTAGGTCACATGTCTAGTAAGCAGTAAACAGCTAAGATCTGTTTCCCAAAGCTGCGATCTGTACTTCATCTACTACTGCCTATACAAAACGCTGTTCAAAAGCATGGACTTTGAAAGTTAGTTAGGTCCAGATTTGATCGAGCTTCTGAGACTCACTAGCTCTTTGGGCTTCGGTAACTTTTTTAACTTTTTCAAAGAGGTTTGATTTTCTCACCTATAAAATATGGATAATATTAATATGCACCTTAGAGTTGAAGATTAAATGAGAAAATGCATTTAAAGTATCAGCCGAGTGATGAAAACATAGAGCTAACATTTAACATTACTATGTTACCCCTAATTTTAGAATTGTGGTTCTATTACTACAGATATTCCAGAATCACAGATAATCCAGAATTCTATTTCTTTTTTAATGAAATGTGACCACTACACCTTTAAGAATAAACTTTATTCAAATATTGTGTCATATCAGAATACTTCCAAATTTGAACAAAATATTAATCAAATGTTTTACTAGACAGACAAGGCAAGGCTTCAGAAACAAAACAAAAATTCTGAAGAAGTTACAAAGCCATCCTTCTAAGTACTGTTGTATAATATACTTGTCATAAACCTATAATTTTCTATTTCAATTTAAACATTATATTTAGAAGAAACAAAAATCATTTTTTAGAAATGTGACTAACATGTTAGCAAATTGGTTAGCAAAATAAATTCTCCCAACTGACTAGAAACATAACACATTCAAAGAAAAAGATCTCAGATCCATATATCTAGCAATACCACTATAAAAACACTGCACAGTCAACCCGAGACCTATTTTATTTTCAATATATAACATAGCTTTTTTTTTTTAAATGACACCTTCTTGTGATTACATGCTCTCAATTGGCTCAAATACTCTGTTGGTCTGGATAAGACATCACTTGTTTAAGAGCAGCTTCTGATTGACTGGCCATAACCACTGATCCATGGTTAAACTTATATCACCTCCAGAGCCCTTTTCTGAAACAAAAAGAGAAAAACCTCAAGTTGATAAAGAAATGTAAAAACAAAAAAATTATTTACGTGGGCACTACCACAACACATTTAATGTCTCTAAAAAATGGGTACAGGGGACAGATGAGTATTCTAATTACTACACGGAATTATTCCTACAGAAATATTTTTTTCTTTTTAGTATTTTGCTTTCATACTCTACCTATTCTCAAAGTTTCTCTAAAAGATTATGAAATTGGCATATTTTGTATTGTGCTAGAATGATGTTAACAAGGCTGATAACCAGTTAGTCCATTGTTCTCTTTGATTAGCATGTATTTTTCACATAATATTACAGCCACCAAGAGCTGATTTCATTCTCAATTTGCCTCAATTCTGCTTACGAACATGATCATGCAAGAACCAGGAACTCCCAACAAATTGAATTTTATCGTACAGATAAACTAAAAATCCAGAAAGAAATTCCAATAGGTCATTTAAACATGTGAGCTCATTATGAGCTCATATTGAGAAATACTGAGAAAATCATTAAAAATATAAATTTATTAGATTTACAATTTAACTTTCAAGACGAATTCAATCAAACAAATTTCCTATAATATTTCAAGAAATCCACTTTTTGGTTATTTATACCTGTAAGCATATTTAACACTTTTAGCTTAAGTGTCCCCCCACCCCCACACACACTATTACTATCCAAAGAAATCGATAAACCATTTTTGTCTGAGGATTCAGGGTAACAATATCTTTTTTTTTTTCAATTATTTATTTTTTTTAGGTGAGACAACCCTTGGTTGACCTCACAGATTGCAAGGACCTTGTCAACTTACAATCCCTTATTTTTATTTTTTACGCCTACAGCACCTGGTCTTCCTAGGTGGTCTCCTATCCAAGTACTAATCAGACCCGACCCTGCTTAGCTTTCGAGATCAGATGAGATCGGGCTTGTTCAGGGTGGCATGGCTGTAGCATAAACCATTTTTGTCTGAGGATTCAGGGTAACAATATCTTTTTTTTTTTCAATTATTTATTTTTTTTAGGTGAGACAACCCTTGGTTGACCTCACAGATTGCAAGGACCTTGTCAACTTACAATCCCTTATTTTTATTTTTTACGCCTACAGCACCTGGTCTTCCTAGGTGGTCTCCTATCCAAGTACTAATCAGACCCGACCCTGCTTAGCTTTCGAGATCAGATGAGATCGGGCTTGTTCAGGGTGGCATGGCTGTAGCAGTATCTTTTAAGAGTTGGCAGTCTGGTTGAAAAAAATATTTCATTTTAGAATCAGAAGTTACCTTTAATTGTGGTATCATCCAATGACATAAAGTAATAATCTTTTTTCACTGTTTGGAATATAGCCTAACAAAAAGAACCTTTAGATTACAACTGGTTCTTCATTATAGGCACAAAATAATTAAAATAAGAAAGGGGACAACAGATAAACCAGAAAAATGGTATAAATAACAAAAAGTAATCCTTTTGACAATATGATTTTATAATATGAAGAATCACCTGAAATACATTTTCTGTTCTTCAATTTACTCATTTCTCTGGACCATCTCCACTGGAGCATTCTACACAGGGATAAAGTACCTTTTTGTAATTTTGAGGTCCCAAACTCCCACAGCTCTGGTGTTTAGTACATTGTTCAAGAGGCTGCTTTTCAAACATATTATCCATGGTGAGCCACAAATGCTTTATTAAGGACTTAAGAGGAATAGTTCTCCCAAATTCTTTTCAACACCTAATAGTATCATGTGCAAGCATGATGTCTAAACAGAAATCTATTCATGAAACATTTTCTCATGGTGAAATAAAGTAGCTCGGATGGAAAAAAAAAGTTCTAAAAAAATGTAACAGACTCCAGGATCATAGTGACTTGATGTATTCCCAAAAAATAGTCATTCATAATTTAATGCCTCATGATTTTCACTTTTTAAAGAAAATCAGCTCATTTGTAGATAGACATCTATATCTAAGAGTTTCTTTAAATTTGAGGAAAGGTAGGAGATTAGATTAAACATGGCAGAGTGAGAGATGTTCCCAGATCTTTCCCCTTGAAACAATAAGCTGAGCATCTAAAATTCAACAAAAAACATCCAAACTGCACACCAGCACTTCTGAGCATGGAATCTGTGCAAAAGACCTACTGAAGTCAGAATCCCGGGTGTTCGGCAGTGGACTGGGAGAAACAAAGAAGCTGCTTCTCGCAGCCGCCATAGCTCCCTATAGGAGGAGGGGGAGGGGTGAAGGTGCAGTGACTTCCCTGAACAGCCCTGCCTGGGAGTGCTGTGAGCTCCACATGGCCGAGGACATTGCCCAGTCATCAGAGCAGAAGGCAGAGAAACAGGATGGCAGAAAACTGGGGAAGATAGAGAAACAACAGTTGATTTTTAACAGCCGCGGTTGCAAAACCGAGGCGGAGCCGCAGCTCTCATCCTCCAACCCAGAGGGCCCCTCCCCCCACATCCTCGGAGACCAATCACCATGGAGCCCCAGGGAAATCTGAGCAAACGCTACCGAAACTGTAGCTAACACTGACAGGAACTGAGACTGAGAGTAGCAAGCGTGATTAAACATCTATAAGGAAAAAAGACATTATTAAGACTTTATATAAAGCACAGATCCAAGAGGCTTAGATGCCACCTATTGGAAACCAAAAGAGAAACACCTTCTATGCAACAGGCTAGGAACCATTATATAATAAATCTTCTTTCTGGAAAAACAACAGAATACATTTCCATTAATGCGCAGGCAGACATAGTCCGTTAAACACCATGAATAACCAAGGTAACGAGGCATCTCAGAAAGAGAAAAATCTCCAGAAAATAAGCTTACAGACATAGAAATATGTGACTTAAATGACAGAGAATTCAGGATGCTACTTCTGAAAAAACTCATTGAGATCCGAAAAGAATCATATCAACAATTTCAGGAATTGAAAAAACAATTAGGTGAGCAGAATGAGTTCTTCAGCAAGGAGAATGAAACCCTCAAAAAGAACCGAAAAGACCTTCTGGAGATAAAGAGTTGAAAAATGATATAACTAGCTTGGGAAATAGAGTTGACCAAATGGAGGAAAGGATCAGTGATACCGAAGACAGAAATCTAGAAATAAATCAGAAGGAAGAAGAGAGACACTAAAGAATGAAAAATAATGAAAGAGAAATACAAGAACTAGCTGATACCATCAGGGGAGGAAACATAAGAATAATGGGAATTCTCTAAGGGGAGGAGAATGAGCAGGGATTAGAAAGCATTTCCAGACAAATAGTTGACGAGAATTTCTCAAATCTAAGGAAAGAGCTAGAAGCTTGGAATTCAAGAAGTCAATAGAACATCCAATTATCTCAACACAAAGGCCTTCACCAAGACACACTATATTAGAATTATCAAAAATCAATGACAAAGACAGAATTCTAAGGGCAGCCAGGGAAAAGAAGACAGTAATCTATAAAGGAAAACCCATTAGATAATCGTCGAACTTCTCAGCACAAACCTTACAAGCCACAAAGGAGCAGA